CAATACATGTAACACTATATGGCCAGATATTCATTCATACGCGTTTCGGTATAATTCAGCATCAAGCTAATTTTATTGCTGACATGCGCATATGCGGCTATTCGGGGTATCCAAGAATTTGGCTTATTCCCTTTTTGGGGCCGTTACCCGGCTGCAGGCAAATGGGAAATTTAATGTGAATCATTTGCCTCAAGTGATCTTGCTTCGTTATCTATCGAGACCATTGCCTCTGCATAAACCGCCTTTGCAAATATGATTGGGTTGGCCGCTGCGACCTTCGACATATCTTATATCCTTGTGGATATTTTTGTATCTCTTCTTCGGGTGATGTGGTAAACTGACCTGTGTATGACTGGACTCTACTTTATCTGAATGTGCGATAATAACATGAATGGGTTGATGACAGGATGATCGGCCGAATAATATGAGCGTTTCCATGTGGCGATGGTGATGATCATAATATTGAAAGCAAGTCTTTAATGTTTACATCTCACATGGACATATGTCGATAATTGAAACGCAACCGCAACTTTTACAGTGCTGTCGTATTAAACCGCTGCGTTCAGAAATTGTTTATTCTGGTTCGTCACTCAACACCTATCACTTCTTGCACATTGTCATGAAATTTTCCAGATATCTTTTGAAACGTCACCTTTTTGAATTAAAGATCATTCGCACGCAATGCAACTAAAATAAAAAGCCTTGAATCATCACTGACTTTAAAAGCCCTTGGGGTGTCACAAAGTGTGAACTTAGCGCAAACGGCACAGCACCAGCACAAACCAGATGGTTAGGGACCTTAACGTATTCCTTAAATCAAGGGCAACGACCGCCAGGATTATATTTAGTGTACATACAGAAAATATCGCCGGAATGCAGAAGTATATCTTTGATTGCACATCATTATTGCGTATTTAACGAACTCCTGGTCAAACGCTCAAATGGAAACCATCGGCGTGGCACCTCAGACCATTTTCAATGTTGTCTGAATTCGTTTTCCTTTTGTTTTCTAGGATATACTAATAACGCTTTATTCTCGTAGACATTCACATAATACAGTCTGACTTTTGTTAAAAAATTAACTATTTTTTGATACTTTGCACAACAGCTCACTTTAAAAATGTGGCGTATTGGTTTTTCCCTCAAAAAAATCTGCATATTTGCTAATGAGCCGCAAACATCACCAAAGTGTAATTCACGCTTTTTTGGAAATTTGATTTTGTGACAGTTCCAGCATCTCAAAAGCAACTTAACATCCTGCTGCGAGTGGTTGTTGGCTATGTCTGAGAGAACATGGATAGCGCATGCTCACCACTGAATTGCACTTAAAAGAACTATTTAGCCCCAGTTTATGTTTGATCCATTCCGACCCCAGACGGTCTACGAAAACAAGCTTTTCAAGAAGCACATTTCATCATCCCTATACAAAGATTTTTACGTACTGTGCACAGTCATGTATATAAAATAATCCTACCGCAAACCTGAATTTGACTGCATTCAATGGTATTTTTTGCTTAACTAGCGTACTCCTCTTTCTAGCGGTAAGTAATCCTTGAAAGTTTCCAGAAAATTGGACAAAAATGGTCATGAACAATGTTATGCCAATGCGTTGGGAAATTTCCAGCGTTTCGGAAACATATCTAAATGTCAGTCTGTTTCGGTGAACAATCTTAACTTCTTTACAATGAATGATTTGCAGCAGCAGAACAACTAGCTGCATCAGTAGAGAACTAGGAATAGCAAATAGCGTAAATCATGGAAATCGTGTTTTCTGTGAGTGATATTGAAGCATAGAGCTATTTCAGTGTTTACGAACCCACGAAGAACATTTATTGCGACATGTTGGTAACATCGAGTCAAAATGCCAAGTACCCATCGCGACAATGAATCAAAACCAACGATATATTCCCAGCAATTCATTCTTCACCTCCGAAGGTAAACTTTGGATAAACTGACGTGTTTAAGTCGTTCTTCAGTAATATGGGACTATGCAACTCCACCAGATTAACACAATATAAAGGGAGAAAGTTAGAGGGTCAGGGTTACGAATGAAAGTTAGGGATGCGGAGTAGGGGTTTAAGGGTGGCAGTTCAAACTAAAGAATGAATTTGTGGTAAAGGGTTTGAATACTTATTATTTAGCCACTTAAAATACAACCACACATTCCAAACAGCATTTTTGTTGCATTCAACCACTTGATCATATCATGCGCATTCCTCATCACCGCATGTTAAAATCCTTATTACTACTGATTCCGTATTCGCTGTATCTGGGGTTTATCTGCTTCAGGTGGAGCTACATACCTAGATCTGACCTTTTCTAATTCATTTGAAAAAAACATTTTTATAAATAGAAAAACAAAATTCCGTCCAATTTTCCATTGCAATAAATTTGATAGAAATGTGTTTTTTCTTAAAAACAAAATTCCTTTTTTTGCGTTTCCGTATTTCTCTTATATTTAATTTTGTTTTTCCACTGTTCCGTTACAATAAATTTTGCTGGTTTTGAATCTTTAAACATTTTCCCGTGCATTTTATAATAATAATTAATTTTTCATTGACATTATGCGCCTTAAAAGTATTCAATTTTCTTAAGAATATCCTGATATGCCACTTTTAGTCATGTCTACATCGCTCACTTAAACATTGCTACTCGTATATACCTGGTGCGATTTTGACAAAGAATGACCATAAATATTGCGTTTCTGCAAAACGCTCTATTAGTGGTATTTTTTATTTTTTCCTATCACTTATGTTTGCTATTTTATATGCAATAAAGATTTATTGGTGTTATTCAGCAAGTGATGAGGTACAAGCCGTCAATTACCGTAAACTGTCAGCAGTTTGTTTACGAGTTACATTTAACTCAAAAGCCCATTCACTGCCAATGTATGTCCCAATCATCGACCACGTACTGCTCCTGTCATACATTCACAAATGTGATGCTAAACCACTGACATTGGTCATGTCTTAATTATTTAGAATATTTTTATTATGCACGCTTCTATCTCTTAATGTCCCATTAAAAGACACCATGCATAGCCAACAACGCATCCTGTACGGGTGGGTGCGCAATTTAATAGGCGTTATAACTAAATAGCCAGTAGTTCGCAAATTATCGTACTATGTTATATGTTTCGTGACTAAAAAACGTGTGCCATGTGTCATGCGTCATTATTTTTGACGAGGCCTAAATTACCCCAAAATATTACAACTGCAAGAGCCATGAGCAGCTCGAATCAGGATAAACTGACTCGCAGCTGATTGTAGGACCCCGGTCTGCCGCTTGGCATAGACAAGGCATGTACTCAGACGAGGATGACGCAGACGGCCAACAACGTTTGGTGTCAGAAAGTTCAACTGCCGGAAACTCTTCGTGTTACAATGGTGTATTGTTTTCATTTTTCTTCTGATTGTGGCTTAGGACTTTTATTTACATTGCTGTCTTTCGACGGAACAGACATTTACACTTTCCTAATCTTAAGTGAGCGATTTATTCAGGATATGTTTGAGGAAATTTTGATCGGACATTTAGACTACTTTTTGCAGTCACTAGTACCGTAGGTTAGTAAATGGTCACTTTGTTATTGTTAGTGAAATTGACCTTACAGCTATTTAGTTAGGCGGACGCGTTGCGAAATTTGCACATGCCGCTTACTGAACAGTTCTTTGATTAGATGCGTCAGTGTCACCATTTCTGTTACTAGCACATAAGAATAGTTGACCTAAGACATGATCTGATTTCTTAAGGGCCGTGTGATCAATAGACTTTATCGCAGGTCACCAACAACATCATTATCAATAATTTAGGGACATGATGCTTTTCTTCAAACACAATATATGCAAGCCTCACTAGACAGTTGAAACCTTGTCAAATGTGAAGAATATGACCTCAGAAAAGTCAACGTACTTAAGGCACTTTATCATTGTTTTAATCTCCTTCTTTTTAACCCTTGCATGCATATGTAAAATCCCGTTGTGTTTATCTTTTTTCAAGTAGATACCTTTAGACAGCCGGTCTTGTGCTTCTGCATTACGGCATTATTTGAATCCACAAAACGCATAGTCGTGCTGACAAATCAACGTTGTTTAAATACTGAAGATGAATAAATAATGCCACGTGTGTCCTTAATATAAGTTAGGCTAATCGGTACCGCAATGTCATTAAAGTAGTTTTAGCCGGTTCCGCCATGACTACCATATCCGTCTGAGACCTCCTGCTGACTCACTAGGACGCAAAGGTGGTATGAAAGGCAGATTAATAGATTAAAAGCAGTCTCTTCCTGTTTGACGATGAGCAAAGTGCGAATGTGCCAGCATCATTAACAGGATTAAATGTTTAAGCGCATTGCTGCATGCTGGCAAGTCTCATATAGATCGTAGTATTTTCATAAACAAAATACTTGTGCGGCTGCTCTGATGAAGCAGTAAATTACAAAGAGGGTAAAATTAAATCATTACAAAATCGCTTTATTCTCAGACTTTCATGCCGCATTGTGACCCAGGCAGTCTCACTTTGCTCCATCACCATCACGTTATAATTTTCAAAATTAATAGCTGCTTTATTCTCTGCACTGCGAACTTTAACTTTTCGCATTTACGTCATGCAACAGCAGAAACGTCACTAAGCACACATCGTGATTTTCTTCAACACCTGTATCAGCAGTGAGGTATGACGAAATAGCTATTTATATATATATATATATATATATATATATATATATATATGAGAAGAAGAGGCGATCTCGGGAACCATGATTGTATTGTCCTGACGTTTCAAAAGCAGACAAGCTTTCATCGTCGGAGGTGAGTATCGTACGGCATCACACAGTATTTATAGGAGGGGGATAGATATCAGTCATGCTAACACGGTGGTAATTATAGGGGGGAGGGGATGGTTAATCGACTTTGGCGCTAATGGCCCGCATACGCACAGGGATCGTCTCTGTAGTCGCCGGGGCAGAGCGGGAGGGAGGGTGACTGCTGTCAATCTGCCTGTCTCTAGTCGGGGGGCGGCATTTGAACGTTGGTGGCCATCGCCCGCATTCGCGTTGACCTTAATTGTCGTGCTGGGTTGCTAGTCTTGATTGCATCCCTCTGATCGCGTTTCTCCCCGTCTGCCGGAGTAGTAGTTGAGGCAACAGTATTGATGACTGCGCCTTCGTCGGGCCCGATTTGCGGTGTGGCTACGTGTAGGTCCGTCGTAGGCTCTCCCGTGTCTAGATCCACTTTCGGCCTGACCTCGCGCTTGCCCTTTAGTTCGTTGAGCTGCGTCCGGAGGGCTTGGTATGCTGTCGGGAGGGCGACGCAACGGTTTATTGAGGTTGTTTCCGTATGCCAGGCCTCGATCGTTTCCCTGGCTACGCGGTCGTTGCCTCGACCCAGAATTTTGGCATTCTGGAAGGCAAAAGTGTGTCCAGAGTCCGCGCAGTGTTCCGCCACCAGAGACAATGGGTCCATTCTCCTCACTGCCCGCATGTGTTCGTTAACGCGAGTTTGTAACCGTTTGCCTGTCTCTCCGACGTAGTTTGCTTGGCAAGAGTTACACTGGACCCGGTAGATGACGTTTGTCGTCTCACCTCGTGGCAGGGGGGCCTTCGGTCTCATAACCAAATGCCGAATGGTTGAGTCTGGTCGATGAGCGATCCCGATCCCCAAGGGCCTTAGGAGGCGGGAAACTGCCTCAGAGACGCCGTCGATGTATGGCAGTGCACGCCAGACTTTTGGCTGTTCTGTCACCCGATTTTGACCTGGTTTAGACTGCCTGCTGCGCTCGATGAAGTTACGGGGATATCCGTTGGCCATTCCTGATTGATAAATACCCGATCTGCAGCGACAGAGAATGACAGGTGGCGAGGCACTGATGAACTTCGGTTCGATGAAGTGCTTATGACCCATCTGGTAGGCCTCAGTGGTGGACCGACTGCGCCAGGTGCGTCTGTGCGCATGTTTGTGTTTCTGGTCGCAGCTGCTGGTGGTGGTCAGGGTTATGATTGGCTGAATGAAGGCAGAATAAGCCCGAAACAGTGCTGTATCAATCTAGTCGCATTTTCTGTCGTCCCTCCTCGCTGATATATATATATATTAGCTTTTGGATAGTAAAGAATTCTCATAATACCTACGTCGTAATTCTGGCCTGGTTCCATTCTAACTTTTTGAAATCAACTGAACAGTTTGCTCATGCATTAAACGTTATTAGGCTAATAAACGAGACTCGATGAAGAGTGAGCAAGAGTATCCGAACGGTCCGGCTAGCGTAGCGTGATATATGCATTTATGCCAGCCACTGCAAAACATACTGAAGCAATTAAGTTAAATGTAACAAGCAGTACCTCATGTCAGACTTACAAGTTAACAGTAATTTTTGATGTGTTTTTCATGTGAATGCACAGCGCTTTGACAATTTCAACTTCGCGTCCTTACATATCAAAAACACAAATTAACAATGAAATCTGCTTTGTGCTGTCGGCTGACGGTATCACACGTGGTAGATTTTATGCCTTGACAACACTTTAATTAGGTCAGTATAGGTCAGTATATTTTAAGAGTAATAGGCAATGCCTTTGAAAACCCTATTGTAAACGGTACATGCAATATCTCACTATAAAATTGAATTCATATTTTCTAGAGGGTTATTGTGGCGCAGGCGATTTAACTATTGACACCTCCTAAAATCTCACTTTTCCTTGATGACTTCGCACGACGTCCCTTACCACCAAAACTTGATTAAAATGATGCCATAAAATTGTCACTAAAATTTGGCAGATTTATTTTTTTCCTTATCGCTTTGCGCTTAAGACATAAGCAGGAAAAATAGCGCACTGGTGCCGTCTACAGGAAAGGCAAACGATTCGTAACAGAATGACAAAAAATAAAACGTAATATTAAGACATTCGAAAAAGAATCAGGGAATATTTACCAATAAATATTATATTACAAGGATATTGAGCTTGCCCACAGCACAGATCACTGATGCTACTCATTGTAAAAGGGCATTTTCATCTTTCCTAAGAAACACTTGAAACTATACCGAGAAGTCCGTATGCCGTATTATAACATATAAATTTTGATATGAATAAGGTCCAAACTTTGTTTCATATAGATGTATACGGATGAGGGCACATCACTTTTAAAAAATATCAGTTTTCCCTTTAAAGACGATGAACCTCAATGCATTGACTACTATCAAGGCGACGTTTTGGTAAACCAAACTCTGGAAATTGTACGAAGAGAATTAAAGGGCATAATTGTGCGATCTAAAGGATTCCTGCACAAGGTTAAAATGATCCCAGGTTCACCGAAAAAGAATATTCAATGCAGGTGGAGGTGGTTTGTAAACTTCACAGGATACCATACATTTTTATGCAGGTTTACTGTTGTGGACATGCAAATTTTTGTCAAGCCGGTTGGTCTGAAGAAAATACTAAAGATTTTGCTCATCTAGCTACAACTGAAATATATTCTAAATACGAATAGAGCTCGCTACAAAAATATACGTTTACGAGTAAAAGGAAGATTCTGGAATTTGGACGGGAGAATTTTCATCCGACTTCAATCAGTTCGCATACCAGAGGCAGTCAGTAACTTCTCTGAATTCGAATGGCCAGATCTTCTCATGCCACCGCAAAGGAACTGGAGGACGCTGTTCATGTATCTGGCGCAGAACCAACTGAACCGCGGGCTACCTATTACGAAGAGTTTATTTTGCTCTTAGCTTGTTGCCGATAAATTCTGGGTTCTCATTTTGGTTAATAAAACTGATTTGTTTTACAGAACACGTTTTGACAACGAAACAATTTGAGACTATTTAGCATAGCTTATGGTCGCCTCGCAAGTACTCAAATGCCTTATCTGAAAAATATGCAGATGAATTAGCAAAAGTACCATAGAACAGTTTTCGGGGTTTTATGAAAATGGAGAATTTAGAAACGCCCAACTAAGGTTGAAACGACGCGTCATAATCGGAGCGTTTTTTCGGACGGCCGCAAAGTTTGCCAAAGACAGCAACGGCTTAAAAAAATTACTGGTGGGAATAGTTACAAGGTGTTATTTAACGCTATTACATACGTTCAATGAGACTCCGTTCTCCTGTTTTCTATTGCGCATTTTCGGATGAGCGAAGCCACTCTTGTACATATAGTGACATATCTCACAATGCCGGAGAGAGTTGCATGACAATCCCCAAATACACAAGGGAAGATCAGTTTTTGAGTACTGTATACGTAAGATAAATCCTCTTTTCTGCTTTATACTTAAACGGAAACGGAGAAGAAATGCACGGCGTGGGTAATTATAGACATTGTTTATATTTCCTCGGCCTACATAATTATGACACAGTATCACCTATCAAAGATGAAAAATTGTGGTACGTGTTACAACATTTTGCGTACTGATTCTATTTTGCTGACCTCATGTGAAAATAAGAACCTCTGCACTCATACCATGTTAATAAACATGGTTATTTATAGTATATCTGTAGCCTTATGTTTTAGATTCAAAGCATTCTTTAAATTTCGGTCATTGGAGTCCAAGTGGCTGTTAACATTTTACAAATTACAACCTTTCGGGCCCAAATTATTCCCTTGTAATACAAGGGCCACCGCTAAAGTGTACATTTAGATTGAAAACTCCATTATTGAGCAAAGTATGTGCAAGATTCTCCTTTTCACACACTTACTTTTCACTTCGTCTTATTGAAATGTTCCCTTACGTTTGTCTCTATTGAAACTGCTAGTATTCACAAGTTGAAAAATTAGTTTATGCAACGAAATTTGGTCCAGATTAATCATAATTACTTAATGACACTTTCATCTTTGCAAAGAACAATGAGACGAAAAAGACGAATTATCAATGCAAATTTTACGGGCCAAAGATCTAAGCAAAGCAAGTTGCTTTATGTTTTGTCAGCATTGGCCAGGAAATTAAATTGCTAGACGGCTTTGAAAAATCAAGAGATAATACACAAGTGTTCTGACCTTTTTAAAAAAGTATGGGTCATTCTTGTCGAATTCTCGTACTACGTATTTCAAGTCAGCGCAACGAAGAGTTTGGGGAAGTTTTAGACCAGACATAAATAGTGATGTCATGTTTAATTTTATTTAAAAAAACGAACACTGATATTTTGAAAGCGCAAAGGTTCTTAATGAAAAGCATAGTATTTCGTTTTAGCCCGCTCTTTCTCCACTTAACGGTCAGTAGCTGATCCGTGGAATGCTATTACGCAGGGTCTTTGAAAAAATGTCCATAGAGAGGGGCTTTCTACTTAACAAGTGGCTTTAGTCGAATCCTACAATTTCATTTCCAATGCTTTGTGAACTGGCCCGTCTAAAAATGTACGCGATGCATACGTTTTATCAAAACAAGACCATCGTAATGCAGGAAAAAATATAACTGTTTCGATCAACAGCGTTTTTACAACGAACTGTTTTTTTCCGAGAAGCCCGCGTCAGGAAAAAAGGTTACATGCAAGTTTTCAAGCCGCGGACTACAATTCAAACACAGTACCCCTCTCCTATTCACGCTTTCAACGGAAATTCTGCAACACCGATCGATATTATTTATAATTCAACCCTTATGTGTATATTTAGCAATTTACGAATCAACAAAACCTGTTGCGCCTAAGAGAGCGTTTGGAATGGTGTAAAATCGGATGCCCTCGCTCCAATTGCTTTTTAACAATATGCAGTAGTAGTCTCTTTTCGTCCCTTTTCGGCGCAAGGAACACCATTGCCGCAAATCAGTCAAATATGCATTTGTCGCCTCTGAGATATTGATGACTGACTTTGGATAGAAATCCTTTCAACTGTTTTGAAATGACTCGCGGATTTGAAAATGATTCCTCCATAACTGTGCAGAGTATTGCATAATGGTCAGATATTCGTGTTGACTAACGCTCGAAGGTTATGAGGTAAACCCCATAGTTTTCATGCAATTGATAACTGCCCTGCAAAGACTTGAATGCCGGCTATGCCGGAAGAGGTGAAAAAGTTATTAAGCCTCCCTTTCTGTCCAACTTACACTCCTCCCTATTAATAGAAAGTCCCACTTTCACAGAGGCATGCAGCTCTGTTAGCAGCCTATGGTTATTCTTGCCTTTCTGTTTCCATACGAAGCCGTTATCTATATAAAAATTCGGCAGCCATCTGACGTGTCTTAACAGCCCCACATTGGGACAGCACGGTTCACCATCTCTCAAGAGTGGCAGGAAATGCTTGCTTAAATAAATTCCCTGATCACATAATTTACACGTACAGTTGGTTTTCAAATGTGCAACTTGCGGTCAAAACCATCAAGTATATACCATCTCACGCGTGTAATCTCCTACCCCACCTCACAGACTGGTAAAGCGTGTCCACTTACTATGGCAGTCAGCAATTTTATTCGCCAAATAGGCGGAAAGATAATTTAACATTTATCACTCGAGAAGGGGATTGTTACAGAGCGAACGTGCAAGTTAGATGAGGACGTTAGCGTCTGCGAGTTCCTCCGAAGTTCCCGCTCGAACGCCGGTCATGGCGACACTGGGGTCGCCTTTGCCATCGTGAGGACAGGATCATCTGTCTGGAGTGCTGGATTGCTGAGCACTTAAAAGCTCCAGTGACAGCGGTATCTTCACTTTGCTGACTTGAGTGGAACATCGTATCCTCTCGACCAGCACATGTTTCATCCGTCGACGCAAGAGAACACAATCTGGACGCACCCCCTCGATCGCGGCGCTAATGGTTGCTGGGGAGTGTTATCGTTTGGCTGCGAAATCAGCATAAGTATTTGGTGGCTACGATGACCTTGACTTCGACGGATGGATCGATCATCGCCTTGTCATCTAGAAGACGATATTTCGGCTGTAACCTCGCAGATTACTACAAGATAAATATTATTCCTTTGAATCCAATTGCTCA